AGCACATTCTGGCGTCGTCTACATAAGATTTATGGATTTTAAGCAAATTTGTGCAAGATTTTGTCCAACCCATCAGGCTCTCAGTCCCCCAAAGGATATTAATATGTTATGGAATTTATGGGCTGTAATGTTTCAGTTTCAGGCCAGGAACAGAGTTAGTTCTAAAGTGAATAAAATTTCAGACAAGGAATATTTCTATTTTTGTTTCACTTTAATCTTGGACTTTAATTACTGGCAGGATTTAATAATAGGTACCAATCACTTTAGCACTATATTAAAATCTTTTACCATGTTAGAGGATTATGCTTGTAAATACAAAATATTAGTGCCATATGTTTGTAAACACTGGAGGAAAAGTCATGGGAAGAGTAAGTAGACAGTTATAAAATTAAATGCCACACTTTGAAGAAGCAAATAATAAGTTTTCTTTCTTGAATCGTTCTACCTCCTTGTTTCTTTCATTCTTCATATCCATACATACAGTCATAAACATTGCACAGAATGTAGGAAATTTAACACATCATGTAAGGTCTTAAATATATTTCAATGTGTACTTAATTCCTTTTATAAATCTATTGTCTTCTCTAATATAGTAACTGAAATTTACCCAACAATGGCAGATAGCTTTGATAGATGTGATAATGTTTGCAGGCCTCTGTCTGTCTGAATATATATCTTCATTTTATAAAGTATTGGAAAGCCACCATTACTACATTGGTCACTCAATGGATCAGATGAGAGTCTATTATCTTTAATGCAATTGATTTTCTGTACTTCATTTATGTTGTAAGTTTTGTTCATTGGTAGACTTTTAAAATATGCCTCCATATTTCCTTTTGTGACTTAAATGCCATTTTTTTTTTTTTTTGGTGTTCTAATGCCCTTGGTTGTTAATTCCTCTTAATACACAATGTAAGACTAAAGAAAAGCTAAAGATTAGAATTCTCCTGTGCGTGATACTGTGTGTATGAAAAAGATCACTGGTTTTAGTTCACTTTTAGACATGAATGAAAGAGCATAAAATATTTCTAAGACCAGAATAAGAATTTAGGCCTCAAGACTAGATTCCTTCTGACCTTTTTAAAATAGTGACCATAATTCCAAGTAGACTGATAGGCTAAATCAGAAGTCTGTACCTGCAGTAAGGTTAGAGTTTTCTTTGACCCACATCTGTGTACCAGTCCAAAAGAACAATCAGTGGAGTCACAGGAATGACTGTTTCCAAAGCTGACATCTTAGATTATTGTCCTTCTGAAGCAGCGAAATCCATCTATTTGAGCCATCTGCCCTTGGGATGAATGAACTAAATTTCATTTATGGGAATTACTGGGTTCTTGGTTATACTTTTTAAATTTCAGTTTTGCTTGTGAGGCACTTATCCTTTTTAACATAAAATATCCATGCATTTTGTTCTCAATGCTCATAAATATGCAAAATCTGTACCATTTGATCAAGTGGTGATATTAAACTGGAAACCAAATAGTGAGAAATTTTTAAATCAAGGGGTGCTTACCTTACCTTCAGGTACAGAAGCGTTCAACAGGCCATTCTATACCTGTTTCTGTGGATTTCTAAAGTCCTCAGAAAGCAGCTGGAATAAAGTTACCTGTGCTGTGTAGGAAGTAAGTAATTATAGAATTACTGCAATAATATATATATATATATACACACACACACATACACACACACACACACACACACATACATATTAAATAATATAAAAATAGAATAATATGTTTCCTAAAAAATATTCCAGCAATATTTTGGTCACTCCATTTAAATGATCACTTAGAAGAGTTTTGAGATAAGTATTAGCATGTGACCAATAGATACTCCCATAATATTTTGGAATTAAATTTCCTACATTTCTCGTTGCATGGTTTATTTTAGTTACAATCCATCATGAAATCATATGACACTTATAGACTTCTAAATATTTGTCTACTGCTTAGTAATATTTGAGAATACATAAAAATTGTTTATTTTTTTTAAATGATCATCTTCTAAAAACATCATGAAATGCTTATTTGGTGAGTAACAGCATAGATGCTGTAAAGATTGCATTAGACATGACCAGGTCTCTTAACATCTAAAACAGGAACATAAAGGAAAGTTTTAAAAGAGAGATAATATAACTCCAGTATTTCTGATATTTTATTCTTAGAAATATGAGTAACTAATCATGGTACAAGAAAATATGTATGCTTAATAGAGAGAATGGGTGAGGTTTACCAGGTTTAAAGTGCAAATCTGGTTTTATTTTATAGCCCCAATATCTACAACCTAGAGCCTGCATTTCAAAGATCATCTTAGTTCTGACAAGGGCTCCTATTGAATAAAACATGTCCCTCACTCTCTTCTTTCTACCTGGGGAGGGCTGCCTCTTGCCTGCTGCCTCCTCGATATATTCTGGCCTTCTGGTCTACTTAGGTGGTGACAGCTTGAGACCAACTCACCAGCACCTTGAACTAAACTGCACACACAGAAAAACGTGAGACCAAAAATTGGCAGGCAGTGTATAAAAGACTACAAATCCCAGAAATACAACCAGATGCTGGCCGACTGGATGGAAGGAAGGATAAAGGGAGGAAAATAGGTAGAGAAAAATGGATGAAGACAGGGAGAAAAAGAGAAAATGAAGGGAGACTAGAGCAAGAGCTGAGAAGACCGTTGCCTGGAATTATAACTGGGATTCAAAGAAACATTGAAGGCTTCCCTTTTGACTCAAGTAGATTTTTTTGTCACATTTTCCCCAAAGTCACATTTTAAATTAATCTTATTTTCCCATGAAAGTAATGTGTCATAATCTTGTAAAAATAAGGAAAAAAAAAGCCAAATTTACAAAATGCAATCATACAAGCATACTTAAGAAGGAGGCCAAGCTCTTAAAGCAATAAATGTTAAGGGCAAAGGCATAGTTTATATGGTGCCATGAATCCAACCATACAATTTGCCTCAGTCTGCTTTATATAAAACTACAATAATAATGTAATAATTTAGCATTAATGAAGTGCTTAGTGCATACCAGGCACTCTCCTAAGAACTTTTTATGTATTAAATGTTGGATTTTCACAGCAATGATATGGGGTAATTACTGTTATTGACCACATTGTGGAGATAAGGGAAATGAAGACCAGACAGATGAAGTCATTCTTATATCCTCATTTGATTTTTTACTGGAGAAGTGGCCATTCCAATAGCTATAACCCATTTTCAACAGTCTTTATTTTTCTTTCTCCTTCCTTCTTTTCAATCAAAGATAGATGTAAGTAATTTTGATAGATATACATACAGACCTAAGCCCCAGTCCCAGCGAAGTGACAAGGCAGCCATATAGCCTCTGCCCTCCAGGAGGCCAAATGTTAATTCTTAGACCATGTTTTAGGTTAATTTTCCTTGACTTGAAATCAACAGATTCTTTTGGAATTCTTTCCCAGAACGCATAACATGAAGTAAGAGGAAAGGGAAGTACATACAGCTTGTTGTTAATTGAAGAAATATTGATTAGAAGTTCAGAGTTCAGGCTCTGAGGTTAACCTGCTTATGTTAGAGCCCAGTACCATCTGAATGAATAGCTTTTTAACCTACAGCTCTTAATGTCTCAATGCCTTGGATTCCTCATCTATCAAAAGGGAATCAAGAATGCCTACCTTTTGGGTTTGTGGATCTTTGATATTTGCAAAGCAGTGCAAATATGCCTGGCACATTATAAACGAATGTTTATATTATGAGTTACTCTTTAAATATGATACTCTTTCACTAGTAAATTTCTGTTATGTAAGGGAGACTTAGAGGGTTTTGAACATTAGATTTGGAGAAGGACTACTGAACACCAATGCGTCTCAAGCAAAAAGTAAACAAAAATATAAAAGATGGTAGAAGGAATAAGGAGCTCATGTTTTTTGCTTTATCCAGACTTCGGTAAGTTTGTATGGACCTCTTGTACTGATAGGGTAGTCATGCTTATTTCTTATTAATGGAAATTTAAAATAAAATAAATAAATTTAAGCTTATTCAATGAGGTTAAATATACAAAAATGTTTAAAACATAGAGACAGAGCATAAAAATAACAGAGGAAAATTATTAGTGAAAGGATTGGGAACCACTGTTCTGGAACTTCTGTGGGTCTTAAGGAATTATGTAACGATTCAAAAATACCAATCAGATTATCTACTAGGATACAGTTACCTGCTGTACGTAATTTGGGAAGCTCTCCGAATGCCTGAGTAATCATCAAAGATTACAGAATCTTAAAACAAGAGAGGACTTTGGAGATTAGTTTTATTCAGTTGATTGACTTTGGGATGGATAGTTATTACTTTAGAAATTAAATTCCTCCTCTTTCTAACTCTGAAAATGTGCATCCCAGTGGCAGGCATCTCCGTAGAAGTTAGAGAAAATGCTATCAGACTGTGGCACAGTGGAATATTTTCATATGCTGTGGTTTTTCTCTTTAGATAGTGATAAAACTATTTGAGGGTCATCTGTTATACTTTTAAAGAGCATTTCAGTTTAAAACAGACCTTGAAAATTATACTTTGAGCTCATGCTCAGATTTTATGAAATGTGTCACCCACCAAGAGCCATTTAAGAAAATTAAAATTTTCTTAAACAAAATTATAAAAAAAGAAATTTTCTTAAAGAAAATGAAAGGGGAGCTCCTGAAAAGTAATTCATTTTCATTGTTTGTTTGTTTTTTTTTTAAAGAAACTCTGTTAATTTAATGAGAAAAAAAAATAAAGTTAAATTTATAATCCTTTTAGAATAAATACTTTTTTATTGAACAGATTCAAACTATAAATCTATTTTTACTCATTAATAATATGGAGTTTTCATTACCCACGTAACCTCTACAATCGGTATTATGGACAAGAAAATTTGAACAGGAAATAAAAAGAAATCTGTGTTACTTTATTAAAAACATAAATTTCTAAACAAATGAAAATGTGAACTTAAGGATTCACATCTGAAGGCCCTGACAGCTGGGATCTTCTTTCAGCTTCGACAGATGACAGTGCAGCTGAGAAGAAAGGGGGAACCCTGCATGCCGGCCTCATCGTTGGAATCCTCATTCTGGTCCTCATTATAGTAGCGGGCGTTCTTGTGACAGTCTATATGTATCACCATCCAACATCAGCAGCCAGTATCTTCTTCATTGAGGTAAGTGCCAAGTGTAGCATATAAAACCCATGGCGGTCCGTGAACTGTGTCCATTTGCTAACTCCACCTGCATTTAATATTTAGCACACGATTTGTCAATTTCAAGTTGGCTGATCTCACCCACATGCATACACATGCTTACATATTGATAGATTGCTTTCATATGATGAGTTCAGTATCCCTTTTCTCAGAAGCTTTTAAAGAAACAAGCTATCTCGCCTGTTACAGATCTAAAGGAAAATAGAAACCATACATTTTGGGTCCTATTCTACCAAAGATGTTAACCAGCTGTTTTCCTGATCCTAGGAGGAAATCAGCATATCCTGGAGGCTCTTGGAATTGACTTAAAGCATTTGATGTATAAATACTAATTGTGTGTTGGCTGGTTTTATGATACAATATGCTGGGCCTGCTCTCAAAATACTTTCAAACTATTTAGAAAAAATGGGGGGTTTTCATTAGAGAACATTAGATATGAAAGAAGATGGTATGCGCTATTGCCATTTTGCATAGTGTGTGTTATTTATATGTGTGTATGTAAATACACACACTCCCACTCATACACACACTAAAACAGAACACCTGTTGAATCAGTGCTTTCTTTATGTACAGAAAGTAGATGTAGTACCAGTGCCAGGAACAAACAGGTAGAAGGACCAAGAACTATATTAGGGACCAGAGCCAAGCCCCTCACAGAAAGCTTCCAGTTTGGAAGGCTGAAACTAAGGATCTTAGAGGGATAAAGGGGAACCAGTGGATAAAGTCAGTGTGAGTAGGTCACTTCTCTCATCCCCAAGACTGGGTTGGTTTCCTATGTTCCCTGTATGAACAGCTTTCACTCCAGCATCTTCAAGGGAACATTCCTTTTCCAATGCTAAATCATATCAGCAATACTAGAGTAAAGCAATCTTCTCTTGCAGAGTTTCAAATATGTTAGAGTTCAACTCTAATTCATTAGATCATATGCAGAAAAGTTGCTTGGAATTTTATTGTTGACTGAGAAATTATAAGCCTTTTAAAATACAAAGTTAAAGTGACCTTTGCCCCTTCTAATAGCAAATGAATTTAATAGTTGCTTTAAAGTCCTATTTGTGTCTCTTCTATCTGCAGAATAAAGTGTGGTCTCCTTCAAGGTCTTGACAATCCAGATCTTATCTATCATTTAAATTTTTATCCCATGACTCTCTACCTGGACTTGGAACTAATGACATATGTCAATCTTAGCACTTTTCCATATACAGCCCAAATGCTCCATGCCACAAAGACATTTTGCTCATTCTATTTTCTCTACCAATAAATCCCTCCCCTTTTATCTCACTTTTGAATTCAGGAACCAAACAACTTTTGATACCATACGTTTCCTTAGACTATCTTCTATCTGGGTAGCTGGACAAGATCTCTCTTCCAACTCTGAAACTCTATCCTTAGCAATACACCAGAACTGTTCTCTGACATTTACCTTCCTGTTTTGCATTAGAGCTAAATCTGTGCATAATTCATTCCACCCTATAAGACTGATAAATTCCTTCAGATCTGGATTATGTAAGTCAAATTTCTTTCTTAAAACAGTATGGTATTCTATCAATATTTCCTGGAAAAAAATACATAAAGAAATATCCAATTGCATTTTAAACTTCCATTAAAATTTTATATAAGATATATTCCAGACATGACATTCTTATTTAATATTATAGGTATTGGGAAATTATCAGGCATTACACTTATTTGGAAAGATGTTATTAAGTTTGGTTAATGGCTCCATTTTCACAGAAGAAAGTGGACATCTTACTTGAGATTCTGAATGCTTTCCTCAAAGAGCAGATAATGACAAGCTGAAAGTCTCAGTGCCCAGCCAGACATTGGCCTGCTGCTGCTGTGAGCCCTCATACATGGTTCAGCCTTTTAATATGAAGTGCATTTTATTTTATGGTGCTGTGAAAAAGAGTATGCTATGAAATAACTGATGAGAATTGTATTAGCAGCAAATTGTACAGTGCAGAGAACGTAGTTAAAGCGTTTACAGCAATCTTTGTATGACTACAAAATGACACTCTAAAATAGCAGGGGTATTTTTCCTTTGCATTGGCCTCTTCTTTTGACAGGAGTGGGTCCCAGAGATTGAACTCAAGGGCACTCGACCACTGAGCCACATCCCCAGCCCTACTTTGTATTTTGTTTAGAGACAGGGTCTCACTAAGTTGCTTAATACCTTGCTTTTGCTGAAGCTGGCATTGAACTCGCAATCCTCCTGCCTCAGCTTCCCGAGCAGCTGGGATTACAGGTGTGTTCCACCCACCAGGTTTGCATTGGCCCTTTTGAATTAATCTCAATGTGTAGGTAGCATGCACATATAAATATACAAACGTTGATTCATTACATGTAAGATGCACCACATACTTCATATGTAGAATATTAGAGAGAGGGGGAATTGTAGACATAATTTAGTCCTATACCCTTATAACACAGAGAAAACCTGAGGCTCGGAGGGGTGGAATGACTTATCCAAGTTCAAATAGCCTTAGTTCTCAGAGTCATTATCATCTTTCCCCATGTAAGTGACACAGAATCATTCTGCAGGCTTCCCACTGCCAGAGTCTGCTAACATCATTACCTTCACATCCTGGCTATAGTCTGGCAGCTCAAGTGGCTGGTCGGCAAAGGATTTCTGGAAGGTGATAATGATAACTTCACCATTATTAAAATGAACCAACTGTTTGCAAAATCCAAACATAGACTCATGATGACTGCATGGTCAATTCTTTTTTCAAGTGACATTTTTTAATTTTATTATGAACTCTTTGTACACATGACTGCAATGGCTGTAAAACATTCCATTCAACTTTCATTCAGTAGCTTATATTGATTGCCTCTTTGGCTGGCAAATGGTAATTTAGAAAGCAGAAGGGCCTCACATGTTCCTAGAAGTCAAAAATAACTTTTTTTCACCCTAATTTAAAACTGTGTATTAGTTTTCTATTGATACTATAACAAATTGCCACAAACCTAGCAGCTTGAAATGAAACGTTTTACAATGCTAGAAGTCAGAAGTCTAAATTCAGCTCACTAAGTCAAGGTATTGGCAGGGTCAGCTCCGTCTTCAAGGAAGCTGTTATCTTGCTTATCTTGCCATTTTGGGCTTCTAGAGACTGCCTTGTGTTCCTTGGCTCATGGCCTCTCCTTTGATCATTCCAAAATCTGTTTCTGCCATCACATTGACTGCTAACTCAGAACCTCCTGCCTTCTTCTTATAAGACACCTGGTGATTACACTGGATCCATCTGAAAAACCCAGGATAATTTCCCCATCTCAAGGGGATGGGTTTGGAGATTAGGACACGGATAGTATCTTTTGAGACCATTTTTTTCTGTTGAACACAGACTGCATCAAATATAAGATACATCATGCACTACCAATTAAACTGTGGCACATCCTTGTCTCTAAGGTATGCCCTAATTTTAGTGACATCAAAAATATGACCCCATATGTATCTTGTATATTTCACAGTGAAATACAGACTGCAATAAACACCTGTATAAATTAATTCCTGTGTCAGATACTGCGTATTCTGTGATGAAAGTTAATGCCTCTGCCCTTGTAAATGTACCAGAGCTCACAAAATCAATGTTACAGAGCCTCTTTCCCAAATGGGCTCTTCCCCATGATAATGAGCTGCATTGTAAACATATTAATGATAACAGCTAATTCATTAAATTCATTAATTCATTAAATTCACTAATAGTTTTGATTTACACTTCTCCTTTTATTTAATCCTGATGAAGACCCTATGAGGTATTAGCATTATTTCGATATCATAGACGTGAAGACTGAGGCATTCAGTCACTAGTGGAGTGAGTATTTGAGTCCAGCCTCTCCAACTCCAGAGACCACACCCTTAACCAGTAGGCTGCCCTGTCTGTTTGTTAGGATAATTTTTTATAAATTATAAGTAGAAGTGTAGGATGATGTATATCTAAGGACATATATTATTTCCTTAGAACAGATTCCCCCAAATAGAAACAAAGGAAAAGAACAGTTAGAAGGCATTTAATAAATATTGCCAAAATCATTACCCAAAGGTATACACTCATTCATATAGCTATTGTTAAGAGTCAAGTGATGACAATACTGACAGTGGCTGTTACCTATGTATTTTATTCTTGCAGAAAATATATACTGATTATTATTCATTTTGTGAACACTGACACTCTTCTTCATATAAAATGTTTATTTTGGGTCTTGGCTTTTAAACTTCTTGTTTGTAGGAAGGAAACGAGATAATAAAGCAAATCATTTCCCCCTATAAACTGTATAATTAAGCAAGTGAATTGACTGTTTACATCTCTTGTGTCTTCATGTACAGGGTCAGGATAAGAGTGCCATCCTCCTCAAATATCCAGTGGCTATCCAATCTGACAGAATAGTCTATTTCTCACTAACTTATCTTCTATAATCCTCCACCCTCCTCCTCTAATCTTAGACTGAACATTTTTGCTGACTTTTTTACTGAATAGCTTGCATTTTTTGTTATCCATCTGGCTTTTCCCAGTTACTTTCAAAAGGGTGTCTGATTTTGACCAAAATCCATCATATTATACATGTCTTAAAATCTTTTTTAAAATGCTTAGTTATTATCTTGAAACAAACTGACAGAATAAATATTCAAATAAACTAGTATTCTTTTGTTTTTAGTAGATTTTGATAAAACTAGTGTCTCTTTGGAGAATTCTTTGTGCCTTAAGTTCTACATTAAAGCTAATGATTGCTGAACTTTCCTAGGCATGAATTCTATGATTTATTATAAACTTCATTGTTGCATGAATATAGGCCACAGAGACCAGTGTTTGCACTGTTTAATGTCTGGAAAGACATGTATATAAAATACATACTGAGTTTGGTTTAGATATGAGGTGTCCCCAAAAGGTGAAATGATTAGATTATGAGAAGTAGAACCTGGTCATGGATTAATCCACTGATATGGATTGATGGTGATAATTGTAGGC